GTGATAAATCATTTGGAAGGTGTGTTCCTCTGATAGCACACACACACACACACATATCTCCAGAATAATCATGAGAAGAAATTCACACAGATGCCGACTTGTGGGACATGCTACACAATATTGATTGATACCAGGCGTTTCTGATGAGACTGTCATGAGTATACAAACAATATTTCAGAGAAACTTTCACACTCATGGAAAACTCAAAAAATCACCAGCCAACAACCTGGAAAGTCTGCCATTAATGAAGTCACTGAAAAGGAATGGTACATAAAGTAATAAAAATGAAGAAAGAAATTCTTAATAAGGCATATATTTTAATTACAAAGGTATTGGTATCAGTTCATTAATTATGAAAATGTTTCATAATAATTAAAGATGTTAGAGAAAATTGGTTTTGAGATGCAAACATAAGTACATTACATAGTATCTTAGAAGTTTTAAGTATATTTTTATATCAAAAGAATAGAATGGCAAGGCAGTGAGCAAGTCAACAATAGTTCTAGAAAGTAAAACCTTGAAAACCCTGTTGAAAACCAAAGCAAAGGGCAAAGGATATGGTAGAGAGGAGGGAGAAGGGGGGAGATGGAAAAAGACAGTTCAGATCTCAACTAACATCACTAGTATTCAACTTAGAAAGAGGGAGATATAGGCTTGGATATAATAACTTTCAAACAAGTACTCAAATGAATGAGTTTAGAAAATACCAAACTTGGGTTGTGTGTATTTACCACCATATAATATCTACCCACATGTATTTGTGTAAATATTGCATATTTCTGTGCAGCTAACATAAAACATACACACACACACACACACACATTCACACACACACACACACACACACTAAATCTAAGGGATTTGGGATACTGTTTATGCATAGTTAAAAAGTGCTGTTCTAAGATCCTCCAAAGATGCATATTACAAAAAGACATAGTTGCATGAGAACTGGGTATAAAAATTTACGTGGGATGTGGGTGGGTATGGAATTCATATTGAAGAAAAACTTTAAAAAATGTGAATTGAGAGTTCTTATGCTGATGGATTAAATGAGATATAATGGTGTCTAAAGTCTATAGAAATCAGAGGAAAATGAATAAAAGGACCGGTAGGCATTTTCAGTTATGAACTTACTAGTGAACTTCACAAGAACCAGAATCAAGGCTGTATGTAAGTTGTCAATGAGAGAGGTAGGAAAGGTCAGTGGCCTCTATCCCTGCTGAAGAACTGGACCATTTGTTACAGAATGCTCTTAGTGTCTTGGTTCTACCACTGTGTGCTAAATGTCTCCATGTAACCTTCTTACACTGTAGTCCACTCATATGTGAACTAGAGAGGATGACAATGTCTACTCGGGATATTGAAAAGCATTACATTTTCATAGGACACTTTGCGCAAAGTTTGTACTTGATAATTTGTCATTATAATTTTTAAATATGGAAGTAGAAGATTATAATTCCCCCTATTGTTTTATTATTTCTCAGTTTATACACATGCTAAGGGTATTCTTACCTTCTATTTCTTTGATTTTAATTAGTTGGATATTTTTATTTTATTTTATCTTTTTTTGGTGATATTGATGTGTAAATTCCATCACTTGAACCATGACACAATTTTCTATCTTAATATTTAAAGCAAGGTAATTATATACTATTAGCCTGAAATTCCTAAGAAAATGTATGAACTTTTGAGAAGTTTCGAAAGGCAGATTGTTATGAAATGACATGACACTAGGAATTATGAGCAATTTGTATTAAGGAATTAAGCAGCAGTTCATAATATAAATTGGACTTATTAACCTAAAATTATTTATTCGTCTGTTTATGTGTGTTTGGTGTATGGAACTGCACAATACTACAGCCCATTGTTGTAAAACAATCGGGTACCTTTTTTGCATGAACAAATATCAAATACAAATTATTGTTTTGTTTTCGGTTTCCTCTTTTTGTGATTGTGTATATATGAGCCACCATTCTATATGAGACACAATTTAATAATAAGGACATTTACTTATGAATCATTCTGTGTATTATGTCTATATTCAGAATATGATTATATTTTGAGATTAGGGGAAGTGTCATGGGATAGGCCCTAAATTACCGAGGGGTGTCCATTTGAGAAGATAATATCAGGAAGTATGGAAGGAAAATCATGTAAATACATGGAATAAGGCTGTTCATAAGCAAGCTGAGAGAAACCAACCAGGAAGAAGAAGATATAGGTAGGTGGGACAGGAAAATGTTGGAAGAGGTGATTTCAATTCAGATGCATTTGTAAGAAGTGAATTTCTGTTTTTAAAGCCCTTTACACCACGTTATCATAGAACTAGCGAATTAAAGTAGTGAAGCTGAAAAAATATGCAATAAAGGAATGGAAAATGATTATTAGTGTAAAGGAATGAAGACCTACAACTTTTATTTGCTTGATTAATAACTTTGTCCTGTGGTCTCAAATGACACGGCCCCTCACAAGTTTTCTTTATGTCACTATGGTTTCTGTGTAATTATTGCATGTAGTGATTAATTCATTTCTTTGAAATCTGAAGAAACCAATAATGTATGATGAATAATCTTGCAAATAATAAATCATACTGTATGTTAACTTTCTTTGGGAAGACATTCTGTAGGCAATAGTGAATTGTATCATGTGAGCATACCGAGAAACTGCAATGGTTTAATATGACTTTAGAAACAATTATATATTTCCCCAAGCATTATTATACTGGCATTGATTTCACAGCATGAACATTATAATGAAGTTTTTAGGGCAGACCTGAGCACTGGTGGCCATGTATGTAATCCTAGCCACTCAAGAGGCTGCGATCTGAGGATAATGATTAGAAGCTACCCAAGGCAAGAAAGTCCAGGAGATTCTTATATCCAATTATTTTTGAGCTGTGACTCATGTGCTAGAGTACTAGCCTTGAGCAGGAGATGTTCAGAAACACCACATAGGCCAAGAATTCAAGCCATAAGACCAACATGCATGCACATGCACGCGTCTACATGCACAAATGTTTAATCAGTGTAGAATGGAAGAAAACATGGTCAACAGCTTCTTAATAGGGAGAAAAGGAAAATGTGCAATTGGGAGACACTAAAAAGAAAAGGAAACAGCTCCAAGTTGTTCCACTGAAACTGTATGAATCTACATCAGGTTATTTTTTTCGGTCAGTTGTGGGGCCTGAACTCGGCCTGGGCGCTGTCCCTCAGCTCTTCAGCTCAAGGCCAACTCTCTATCACTTAAGCCACAGTGCCACTTCCAGTTTTCTGAGTGGTTTATTGGAGCTAACAGTCTAATGGACTTTCCTGCCCGGGCTAGCTTTGAACTGTGATCCTCAGATCACAGCCTACTTAGTAGCTAGGATTACAGACATGAGCCACAGGTGCCTGGCTTACATCAGATAATTTTAAAGGAAACATTTATACGTGAATGCGGAGGAAAGTGCTCTGCTTATTCATAACTGATTTTCTAATGTGTGAGTATGTAATGTGTGAAAGATATAGCCAGCTATTAATCACATCTTAATGTATTGATAGATATCTTGTAGATTTAGTTATATATTAGCCACATCTAATGAATGTACCCATAGTCACTGTATAAACAATTTCAAGAAACAATATTAATTTATGGTAATTTTGCATATGAGTTGTGTGCATTTCTACACAGTCCAATGTAATTGCATGCAATGTTAATAAAGATTATTATTATATTTATAACTACTAATATTTATAAAAATGCATTTGATTTAAAAGTTTTTCAAGGGAGTGTTTGAGGTAAAATTTTGTAAAGTGCATAAAGATTTTTGTAGATTAGAGGACAGAGACATAATGCTAAACTCATTGTATGGCTAGATCTAACAGATCTGAAGTCACATTATCTAAGTAAGTGAATATGGTTCTTAATATGTGCTCTGTAATCCCATAAAGATTGGTCATTATTTATCCAGTAATACATAATGAATATGTATACAAAGAATATAAATCTAGTATATGCTATTTTATATGTGTTTCCTTTTCCTTAACAGATCACAAGAATCTTTAGCAGGTTTCTAACTTATATTCTACAACTTTGATTAATAGCACCCTTTTCAAAATAGAAGCTTTCCTAGATACATGAACTGAAATGTATCTATGACTGCACACTCAAATAAACCAATGACATTTTAAAAGTAATTTCCACACACAGGTAGAGAATTAAGCAAAACGGATATTTATTTTAATGTGGAATTTGAGCCCTGAGGCCTCTCTTTATAAAGAGGGATTTTTTTCTCCATTTGCTTTTGCAAAACTTTATTTTTTGAAAAGGTAACATTTTAATTGACATCTTTAATATGAATGAATATTAAGACCAAGACTTATATATTGAATTGGATATTATCACATTTGTTTCCACTTTCTGAAAGGGTAGGAAAAGCAGATCTGTTCTGGCTTACAGTTTATAAAAGAAAAACCTTTGATTTATAAGAAGATGGAGTTCACAGAGTCTTTTTTTTCTCAGTAGGAATGAGCAGTTAGCAGGTTGCTATTGCTCATTCTTTCTTTTCCTCTTCATGTCTGAATCCTTCAATGCCATCACAGCAGAGCGTAGGGTACACCACTTTAAATGATAAGAGTTTCAATAGGCACTTTAGTGGAATTAAGAAAAATCGATCACTCTTCCACCGTGATGCCGCAAAGCTGTCTTCATTCTAGGTTGTCATGTCAGTAAATTATATTTAATAGGCCTGAGCTTGTCTCAGTGTGTTTCTGAAATAACAAAACAAAACAGACTAACAACATATCATAGGATTTATCTTGTGTTGGCAGAATAAGCCAAAACTGACAATACGATAAATATAACAACTTGCTAAAAACCAGATACTTGAAGGAATCTTGTCCTCTGTAAGCGTGTGTGTGCGTGTGCGTGTGCGTGTGTGTGTGTGTGTGTGTGGTGATTTCTATTTGCTTCCTTTGTTAAGAGTTTATCCTCTCGGTTGTGTGTCAGCCTTCACTTCTTTCTTAAGTGACTTTATCAGGGTTATAACTCTCTTCTTCACCAAACATGTCTGCCAAGACCTTAAAGCGGGGTCCCCAGTCCGTCAGATAATCATAGTCCTGATCCGCCTCTGTGGTGACAGAGTCTATGGAGCTGAGGGATTCTGCGACAGACCCACTGCCTTCGTAGGCATATGTGGCCAAGGAATCATACGGCGGTGCTCCTGGGTCCATGTCGTTTTCCTGTAGCCTCTGATTGATGAAATCCCTTATGTCTGTGTTGTCTTCCACGGGTGGTCTCTGACGAGGTAAACAGAGAGAGTCTGGTTTTATATCCCTGCGAATTTTGTTCTCTTCAATCACTTTGGGATTTCTCAGAGCCCCAATGTCGAAGGCCTGCGTGTCTTCCTCCCCGCCGCCTTCGTCATCGTAATGGATGACGTTGTCTCTGATGTCTTCCTTAGAGGTCATCAGGGTGTCCTTCTTCTTCTGCCTCCGCAGCGCGACATACAGCACGACTATGGCTAAAAGGAGACAGAAAATTGCAAGGTGAAAAAGAAAGCAGACATATCATCTCTTCTTTCCACTTAAAACAAAATAGGTAAACAAAACTAAAATTGATCCGTGTTGGCTTACTTTTCTTAATGACTTCCTGCTATTTTCAAAGAAAATACACGATAATCAATGAGATCATGCATCTATCTTTCTCTTCTTTATTAGCTAACCACAGTGAAACTTTGAAATGGTCACAAGAAACCACAGGAAAGTTGTTCATCATATCAGGGGTAATCCTTCGGTTTTAAATAGTTTAAATTCAAATAATGTGCAACAAAAATAAGAGGAAAATATATGATAACTCTTAACAATATAAAGCTGTGAAACATTCTTATAAAATACTTAATTATTGTACTCGGTAACATGTAAATACCACTCATAACTAATTCCCTCATTGTAATTACTTGCACTGGCATTCCGTATTTCTACAGAAATAACCGAAATTTTACTTGAAACAGTTTTATGAGAAATAGAGAGAGGAGAGAAGAAAATGAGACAAAAAGAAAAGAGTAATATAAAATATAAGAGCCTTAATTCTATTAATTATGTCAACTAAGATCCGTGATTATTTGATCTAGTGGCCTGCCATACTTAAATATGTTCTAAATGAAAAGACTGGCATTGAGGTAGACTTCATGAAGCAAGACAGTACTTTGAGATATTTTTCATAAGCTTCATTATTTTAATCTTTGTTGGTTGCAGATTGACTCAATGATGTCCATTTCTTCTAAGTGTGATTGGAGACAGATATTATGAACATTGGTCCAGCTTTCCCCCATTTCTCCAACAGTGGCAATAGACAAAAGGATTGAGTGTTGGATTGACAAGAGCATTCCAGAAAACCCCTATCATCAAATTAGAAAGTGATGAAAAATACAGGATAAAGAAAGTCCATCTATTCCTTCTTCTTCTATAATTAAAGTGGGAACAATTGGAGGTAAAGGTCATTGTATATACTGGGTTTATCTATGTGGAATTAACAAAGTATTGCCTACTTAAGGACTGACTCCATGTGTGATCTCCTAGTACTTAGTTTTACAATCTTGTTTTCTATCCTAGAGGTAGAAACTATCCTACTTGTCAAATATTTAATATTAAATGGAACATACATATAAGCAAATTCATTCCAACCTGCATGGTTTTTTTTTCATTCTTTTTTTAAAGTAAGTGTTTTTAAATTGATGAATGCCAAAATATGTTATCTGTGTTTCTATGCATTTAGTAACAAAATTCTTAATTTAAATGGAAAAGCTGGTCAGAATTTATGGAAATGTAGTCCTATACATACTCACACAAAGATATTACAGGACATATTTATTTTAATCCTATTCCTTTTCAGCACAATTGCTATGTTTCAGAGTACTAAAGTATTGATGTAAGGAGACAGAGAATAGTGGAAGAAATACTTGGAGTAAAAATTCAAAAGGTGGGAAAGTAAAATTGACATTTCTTTGCTTGACACTTGTTTTTAGGTTTTGCTTTTTCTTCCCTTATTTAATGAATCCTGAAGACAGTTTTTGATGATTATATTATACTAAACAATATTAGACAGTATTACATTAGACAGATATTAGATTACAAAATGATTTGCCATGCCATTGTTATAACTGGAAATGTAAGAATGTCATTGCTGCAAAGGCCAAAAGCCTAAACTCCATCAGAGATTGAAATCATCTTGATGATGTTGTTTTTGAGACATTAAATACTAATAAAAATGTACTATGATACACATTGGTCATCTTCTAACAAGAACCAACAATTCAGTGAAGAAAAACATTTACATAGTAAGTTGAGGAGGGAGGTAGAGGAAAGAAAGAAGGAGAAGGAGAGAAAGAGACTAAATATTCAAACCCACCTAAGAGTATAACAATGCATAGTAGGATTGCAATCAAAGCCCCAGTGCTAAGTCCTACAGGTAGAAAAATGGCTTCCACATTACAAGACAGGATGGTGCCATCAGAGTCACATCTACAAACTCGAATAGTCATAGTGTTTGTACTGCTCTGTACAGGGTAGCTGCTGTCTTCTATTACAACAGGGAGGAAGTACAACTCTTGCTGCCTGCGGCTGTATCCATTTCTTCGGGCTTCAATCCCAGCTGTGTTATCTACAAAACATGATATTTATCATCCTATGGCAAGGGTACACTTTGCCTCTTAAAGTGTAGGAAGCTTTGCTTGACTCAGTAGCATATATCGTTGCAATTATTTATCATTATAAAAGCTAATCACCAACTATTCTCACAGGAAGTACAATTCCCATGATGAAGAAGCCTGTGTTCTCTTAATTAACTAAGCCTTCTACTCTGGGATGCTGAATTGATCAAATCTCCTTAGCTAACTTCAGCTGAAAATATGGGACTCGGCTATTTTGTTTATGAAAAATAGTATGACCTACATTTTCTCAAGCATCTTTGGATTTCTTTTAATCAACCTCATTCTCAGATCTCATCACATTTTTTCCATTTGTTCTACAAACAATTTTTTAAAACTTTGATTTTTCACTAATTGATAGTACAGGAATTAGAATTTTAATACTCATAGAATATAGAGATCTAGGAGACATAACACCTACAGTCATAGAACTACTATAGTAAACATAATTGAACAAAACATACTTAAAATTTAAAATGGACACTTTATTCAATTTATGGTATACTGACTTTATGTCAAGTTGAACATATAGTGTGGATACACAAATACTGTATTTTTCAATTTCATGCAAATTAAATAAACTATTTGACAATTTGTTGTAAAATAGGCTTTTGATTAGATAATTTTGCTCAACTGTAAGTGACCAAAAGTGTTCTGAAAATATTTAAGACATGCTTAGCTGAGTATTTGTGTTCAATAAGTTATGGGACTTAAAAGCATTCTCAACTAGAGCTATTCTACAGTTTGATGATGTAATTCTCAAGATACAATTCCACCATCAAATTGAGGAGCATTTATATTGTTAAACCAGTGTTCTACATGCTTTTCCTGTTGCTGTGATGGTAGCTTATGCCACAGGATTATCAGCAGTTGTAATGGTGATAGTGATACTTAGGAAAGTGTAGGAGCGAGGTGAGGGCAGAAGAGATTGCTAAAATGATCTAAGTATAGGCACCATAAGAAGGACTTTGCCTGTATAATTGCAGTATAAATGCTCTAATTTTTTCATTATCTACTGTAATTCAAACCACTGTCTACCAGTCATTTAGGCATCATGAGTGGAAATGAAAGCCTGTGCCATTCAAATTACAATCTCACAATTCTAACCAGTGTTTCTCTGTGTGTAATTCAAATACAGTAATTAATACACAATTACTTATCCACACCAACAGGGCATGGGCAGGTAGAGCTAATGATATATTCAATTTCCTAGGGAGACTTTTATTTATTGAATCATTAAGAGATTGTCCAATTTTAATAAAGCTCTCAGATAGTCTATACAGATGAAAAAACTAATTTTCTACTAGTCAAAAGATTTGGGATTTACTATAAAATAAATGCATATTTTGTAAGGTAGAGTTCTTTTAGGAAAATACTGAGTTTTCTTTCTCTTTGTAAAATTGGACAAAGCTGTATGATTAGAGGTTAATATATAAGAGGCAATACTTACTTCTGAAGTCACGGACCGTAAAGTTTGGTTTGATGGCAGCCTCCGGAGATAATCTAAAGGAGAACTGCTGCCCCGCAGGTGAAAGATCTCGGTCTGCAGCACTGACTATCTGAATTATCTGAAAAGATGTTCAGAATAAATTCAAAGTCACTCATCAGTTTCGCAGGGGAACTTTATGTGCCAGGAGAATCACTTTATTTAATGAAGCATGCAAGCAGACACAAATGACCCTTCTTAAATCAATAGCAGTGAACCAATTACTTACACATAATTTTTATAAATAATTATATAAACATGTACAGGTAATAATGGTCTGTACAATTATAGGACATAGGTAAATTCTAAATCAATACCTGAGTAACTAAAAACTTACTAGCATTGAAAATTCTAACAAGCAAAATCAAATTGAAATGCACTTGCTTGCACTTTAAATTACATGAAATAAATGCTTTCTAGGCTAAATGTGAGTATTCTAACTAGAAACACAGTATCCAGTGACTCAAAAGCTCTTGCAATAGCAGAATTTAAAATTATTAAATTTTGTGAGAATGTTCATCTTCACAAATAAAAAAAGAAAAAATAAGTGCAAAGTATATTATATTAATTTTACAAATCAGTTAGAGCAAAATTATGATTTTATAATTATATGAAAAGGCACTATTATCATTATTTCACAATTATTCCTTACTTGTGCCGATATATGATGTATATTGTTGACAATATCTGGTTACTTCAATAGAAAAATATTAAAAATCTATAAACCAAAATAACTTCTGAATATTCAACATTAAATTTTATAATGATTTCAGACATTAGGTTAATGTCATGAAACATAGAATTTATCTAATACATTTGATCACTAATTAGTATCCAATCTCATAATCAAAACCTACTTAAATGATAAATTATGGATATCTACACATAGACATATGATTGATGCATAGATGTATTGAGCTATAAGTGATTCAAAGCCAGCCTGGGCAGGCAAACCCTTGAAACTCTTCCTTCCAATAAACTACTCAACAAAAGCTGGAAGTGGCACTGTGGTGCAGAGTGGGAGTGTATTAGCTTTAGTAGAAAGAGGCTCAGGGACAGCTCCCAGGCCCTGAATTCATGCTCCAAGACAGGCAAACAAACAAACAAACAACAACTTAGATCACGAAATGTGGCAATTTAGAGTTTCCAAATAGAATTTTCCTTAAAAACAACAACAATAACAACAACAAAACTTCAGCCTTCCTTCACTTAAACCAAAGTCCTCTCAGTGTATTATTTCACTCTTGAAATTCTGTGTATTTATTAATAGGAACCAAATTTTATGGAAATGTATTGTTTCTTTTATGAACCAATATCATCTATTAAATTAAGTGTTTTTACTGTCAAAAATGTAACAAGGATAGACTTTTAGAATATGGTAAAGTCTTTTACATCATACAGATATGAAAACTTTACTGCTTACTGACTCTTACCTGAAAGTGTTAGTTGGAAGTCACTACCCTAAAAAATCAACTCACATGTAAATCTCCACTGATCTAAGTAATGCCAGGTTTCTTTCTATGTTTCTTTCTTTTTCAAGCAGGTAGATGATAGATGGATAGATGATAGTTGATAGACAGATAGATAATAGATAAAATAGATAAATGAAACATAAAACATAGATACACATGAACAGACACATGATGGATCACATATACACATATTCAAGAACAATACAAAAATGATTAGTGGCTCCAATGCATAGTCCTCAGGGAACAAAGACAGTGATTGGAGTTAAATGCAGGAAGTGTCCATCCACCCCACAGCTTGAAACTCAAAATCCAAATAACATGATTGGGCCATGCTTTGTATATTGATGTTTCCTCCATAGATAGTTAATGGAAATATAGTCTTCCAGAATATACCCGATTCCTCACTATCTATGTATACAAATGCCAATTTCTGTCACATAATAGATGTAATTATTTTTGGACATTTTTGAATATCACATGCTGGTTTCAAGTCTATTACAGAAGCAAGCTGTAGGTTTATGGAGGCTAAAGAATTTGCTGTGCCTTTTATAAAAGCACATGTGCAAAGAAGGAAAGCCATCAGGAAAAAAAAACATTCTCCTTAATGAGTGTTAACGTTCTCAAGCTCACTAGAAATTTCACAGTAAATAGTATCAACAATATGAACCTTATTTAAAAATTTGATTAGAAACCACAAACTTTCCTACTACTGTATTATCTTCATACCCATTCATCCACCACTAACACATAAATTCGGTTCCTATAAAAGTTTATTGGATGAAGATACCTGATATAGATAAATAAGTGCATGTACATGAACTCATATTGGCACTTAGACATTAAAATACACACACAGGCTGGCTTAGTGTACATTTAATGCGCGATATCCACAAAATACCTGTCCTGGCTTGGCATTTTCACACACAGCTGTCTCATATGGCACAGATATTTCTGGTGGGAATTCGTTGACATCGAGGACATTAATGAGTATGTTGACTTTGCTGGTTAATAACGGATTGCCTATTGAGAACATTAAAAAGTAAATTGTTATAAAGTTAATATTTATGATTTCTCTAATTAATAATACTTTATGTTGCCTTGCCAACAGAATACATACATGCTTAATGAAAAATTGCTGAGAATTCTAACAGCGAGGAGAACAATGGATGGGTTTATCCCTCAGAAAATAAGCAGGCCCACCAGATCCAATCTTCATCTCACATTATTTTATCATAAATACATCCTTTTCCAAGCCCACTGTTATAGCCTTCTTTCCTGTTCACAGAGCCTATCTTTAGCAGTAGTGATATATATTTTTTCCTTTTTTATATTTTTATACATTTTTTATTGTGAAAATACCATACAGAGGGATTGCAATTACATGGGCAAGATGATGAGTGCAATTCTTATCAAGCATTGTTTCCCCTTCCCATCCCGCTCACCACCACCCCCACCCCCCCATCACTCCGCGGAAAAGATGTATAGTTCATTTTCACCATAACATCTTGTAGATCTCATTTGTGCAATGGGTCCACCTGTATCCCTATTTAAACAATTTGTTTTTTCCCTTCCCCTCCACAAATTATACCAACATCAAATACAGTGAAAACAGAGGTTATACTGTGGGGAAGGGACATACAAAGCAACAAAGAAAACATCTTATACGTATATTAGACACAATATCAAGAAAAAAAAACATTTGAGTCCTTAACCTGGGGTTCATTTCACCTAACATCAACTTATCTGATCTTTTCTGCTTGTCCCAGACATATACTAGTTATTGCAAAAAAGGGAATCCATGGGACATAAGTTTCTTTGGGCCTGGCTTACTTCACTTAATATTTTTTTCCAAGTCTTTCCATTTCCTGACAAATGGGGCAATGTCATTCTTTCTAATGGAGGCATAGAATTCCATTGTGTATATATACCACATTTTCTTGATCCATTCATCTACTGAGGGGCATCTGAGTTGGTTTACAACTTTGGTACAGGGGGGAGAGGAAAGATGGGAAGAGATGGTAAGGGGAAATATCTTAGCTATGGTAAATAATGCTACAATAAACATAGTTGTGCTGGTAGCTTTATTGTGACCTTCTTTGTGATCATTTGGGTAAATGTCCAAAAGTGGGATTGCTGGGTCATAGGGGAGCTCTATGTGGAGTCTTTTGAAGAACTTCCATACTGCTTTCCAAAGTGGTTGAACAAGTTTACACTCCCACCAACAATGCAGTAAGGGTCTCTGTTGTCCACATCCCTTCCAGCATCTGTTGTTATTAGAGTTGTTAATTATAGCCATTCTAACTGGTGTGATGTGGTATCTCAATGTTGTTTTGATTTGCATTCTTTTATGGCTAGGAAGGTTGAGCATTTCTGCATGTGTCTATTGGCCATTCTTCATTCCTCTTCAGAGAAGTTTCTCTTTAAGTCTTTAGCCCACTTATTTATCGAGCAGTTGTTTCTTTGAAAATTTATTTATTTATTAGGCCAACAACATTTCTGTATCTAGAATATTCTGCATATTTAAGTTGTACCCTTGGAACAAAGTATCCCAGGACTTCCTCCTGAAAAGAATGATAGATAATGGGAAAATAAAAATCAACTAATATAAATGAAAATGAAGAAGAAGAATTAAATATGGTACTCATGATCTTGCCCATGTCATTGTAACCCATGTATACAGTATTTTCACAATAAAAACACAAAAACTGCGATATATCATATATTACTTGCTGATGATGTGAACAAATAAATAAAATTTTATTAGAGAGCAGCTTTTTTAGGCTAGAAAGCAATATCATTTGGACAATGGATTTCTGACCTCACAGATTCTGGCACAGACTAACGAATTTGTATCTGCAACCCTTTTGTTTGTTGAAGAAAACTAAATTCATGAACTCAATTAGATGATATGTAACACATCTATTTAACCTACTCTACAAAATAATATCTTCCTTTTCTAGAGCTACTTGAACATGATCTATAGAAAATTATTATTTGGATTATACCATAATTATATGAATGAAAATGAAGGCTCAGTTTTTAATTTCTATTTTACATCCTAAGTGAGGACACAGGAGTTAGTGCTCATTTATATATATATATATAAATATATATATATATATAATATATTATATATATATAAAAGATACTGTACAGAGGGGTTACGGTTACATGAGTAAGGTAATGAGTACATTTCTTATGGAGCATTGGCAACCCTCCTTTTTTTGTTCTTCTAGTATCCCTTTCTTGCCCCCCCCAAGTTGTAAATTTTTTTTCAACATAGTGTCTTGTACATTGTATAGTTACAGTGGGTCAATCTGTATCCTTGTTTCAGCATTTTGTTATTCCTCAAATTTCTAATTGCCAAATTCGAAAAATGTGTACACAAGATTCAAGTCACAAGAATTGTTTTACTCTTATCCAGGAAGAGACTTTTATGTCATTAAAGTTGCAGATAGAATGTCTTCAAAGGCAGCAATATTTCTTCTTTAAATAGATCTTTTCTAATGGTTTTCTATTGTAATAGATGTAAAAAAGTTTTAAAAATTAGGGCTATTTTTATGTAGCAAAAGTTTGCTTTTGATACTTTGTAGCTATTCATTTCATTCTCCTGAAATGAAAATTTAACATTTGTCCCCAGGACTAAATTTTAACACACAAAAAATTAACATTGCAATGTCCTATTACTAGTAGGGTTTTTTTCTGCAAGAAATATTTTTAGCATTCTAACTAAAACAAATCTCCATTTTGTGAAACTATCTCATAAAACAGTAAAATAATGCAATAATTTTTCTATTTATCTACTAAAATAACTTACAGGAAAGGGAATCGTATGAGCCAAAGAGACAGAGTAACGATGAGCTCTGATTTTTTTCTGCAGTCTCAATTTCCTTAAAACATTTCTTTATTGAATTATTTACATTTATCCAATGTAGATCTTGACATTGCATATTTGTCATGCTCCAATGCTTATTTTCAAGTTAGCAGTCTAATATATTTTCCTTATCACAGTTTATAATATTTTATGTCCATTATTGCATAAATATATCCAATTGAATTTTTTCCTTTGCAAACCTTGTGTATAAAGCAATAAAAACTAAAAAGAATATTAATATGAATTCAAATGTTGCATTTGATTTATACTTTTGATAAATATTTCATTGAAGGAAAATAATAAATCAAAGATATAGCATATTTTACTTAAGTTCAACATGTAATACACTTCAAATAACTTGTAAAGTGTTTTCAATGTATTTATTATATACATAGCTAAATATGATAACTAGTGCTATCATTAGTTCATTATTAGGATGCGATTTCTTGCATGCTAAAAATTTCATACTTAATCAAATAGTCCAGGTTTAAGACATTTTAAACTGAGCTTTGGTTGCTCATGCCTGTAATCCTAGCTACTCAAGAGGCTAAGATCTGAGGATCGTGGTTGGAAGCCAACCAAACAGTTAAGTATGTGAGATTCTTATCTCCAATAAATTAGCCTTGAGTAAAAGAAGCTCAGAAATTGCCAGTGATATAGTTCAAGCCTCAGGACTGGCCATATATATATATATATGGAGAGAGAGAGAGAAAGAGAGACAGGCAGACAGACAGACAGACAGAGACAGACAGACAGACAGACAGAGAGAGTATATAACATTTATTTGCTTTTACCTTAAATATGTGATGAGTAAAGGAACTGTACAAATAGGTTTTAAACCCATTTCAGATGAAAAATTCATTATAAATTCATTACATAGCATTTATGCCTAAGAAAATGAGATAGTAATTAAGAAAAACAGTAGACTGGCTTTAATGTTGTATGTGTGATTGGATGGATTATTTAGAATAACGTCAAATGTCGTAGCAAATTGATAAACAGTTGAAAGTTTAAAATAAAAAATATACAAATATATTACAATTTTTGATTCTTTTATGTTTTGGTAGCATAGTATAGTGAGAAAAATGGCATAATTTCTAAATTAACCTGATTATTATAGAGGTGTTAATGATGATTATTTATATGCATATGATGTATCGCAGTACCTCATGAAATAGTTTGAAAAAACTCCTAATTGTTTCTTCTAAGTATTACTCATAAAACTTCTGCTGAAATACTGCAAATTCTAGTATAAAACTTATAAATATAGAATAATATTTATATTTCTTAGGAAATGCAAAACAGTTTCTTGGAGAAAAATCAGAAAATAAGGAAAATGATAGATATCTATTAGATTTGAACTTATAAAACTAGATAACTTGTAAGATAAAAGAAAAGAAAGTATTTGGGCAATTGTAGAAACAGAAAATAATATCAATTTGGAATTTAAAGTAACAGTTATGCTTTTTCCTCATAAGTGCAATAAACACTCTGAATAAATACATGTGTTCAAGACAATTGGTTCTACATTTTTGTTACCATTGTTTCAAAAGCCATTGTTTACTAAAGTAAACATGAGAAGAGTGCTCATTAAAATGTTGGTTTCTAGATCATATTTCCAGAATTTTGAAATGACATGTAGTCTTGAATGAGGTCCACCAATCTGTTCATTAAAACTATTGTTTGAAGCTGGGCATCAGTGGCTCACACCTGTAATCTGAGGCTGAAATCTGAGGATCACAGTTCAAAGCCAGCCTGGGCAGGAAACTCCATGAGACTCTTTAATAAACCACTCAGAAGTGGTTCAAGTGGTAGAGTGCTAGCCTTGAGCTGAAGAGCTGAGGGACAATGCCCAGGCCCAGAGTTCAAGCCCCATAACCATGACCGCCACCACCAACAACAACAAAAAAGGATGCATCATACATAGTACAAGATGATTGCTACGTGATAAGAGTATGTTTATGTCTTCAAGCAAAATTGCTGAAGTTTTGACCTTTTGACCACATTTGATACATTCACCAGATCGCTACATCTCAGCATTTTTAGATCCAGAAATTACTACTCTGTCTCTCTCTGTCTCTGTCTTGCTGTCTCTGTCTCTGTTTCTCTGTCTCTCTGTCTCTGTCTCTCTGCTCTGTCTCTCTCT